GAGAGTTTTGCTGACAGAACGATTCATGGCGACATTATTAGGTACATATGAAATGTTTCACATTCAGCATAGAAAGCGTCAGATTGTAAAGACGATGTTTTTTTGTGCCGTGCTCCCATTCCCAATGTGGCATCTCCTTTTGTTTCTGAATTATGCTTGGTATGATTTTTGGCATGTGTTCGATACGAAAATGAGTCAAGTTCCAAAATCAAAAGGAAGTTGCATCTAATTGTTATCTACATAGCATTGACTTGTCACCAAATATGGTTAAAATAGGTCAACTAACCTTGCATGTGTTAAATGTTACAAGCATTTTATATCAGCAATAGTAATTTTTTTTAGTTTCTACATAAAAAAAAACACTTAAATGTACTCCGTATGAGGATTCATGTCACTATAGTATTGTCACGATTTTCTAATGGAATATGGCTGTCAATGTCCTAAATCCTAATGTGTATTTTTGATAATAAAAAAGGTAAAAAAAAGTTCATGTGAGCTTATGATCAAGTACTCAATACTTGCTTCCTTTTCCCCCCTTTTAGAGAACATGTTTTTATTATTTTCAAAAGATTGCCCAAAGTTGTGTGCTGTAACTTTTTTTTAAAGTTGAGTTTGTATTGGGTGAATAGTGAAAGAAGTTTATTACTCGGTATATAATTGGGAGTATTACGTTGTAGATCTTCTCATATAAATTTTTATTTATCTAAAATAAATAAAAGAATGTTTATTTTAGCGACAAGAAAATGTTTATTTAACTTTGATGAAGTCTTCCAAAAAACCCTATATGAAGTCTAAAGGTAATATGAAGTCTTCTCCTTAGGTTTTGATTTTTGTTCAAGATTCTAAAATGCTAGAGACGGTAAAAAAATAATGACTGGTGGTCATATCATAGGACTGTAGGTCACACCGTCCCTTTTATATGTTTTTTTTATAATTTATTCTTCTTTACATCTATTTTATACTCTATTTTGATTAAAATTATATGAACTAAAAATATAGTATGAATAATTCATTCAGAGCACCGGCAATGACAAGGCAAAAACTGGAATGCCACACGTTGACGTGGAATATTTCAACCAATAAAAAATAGTCCAGTCATCGTGTGGCAAGAGCGTGGAGTGGCATTCATTGCAGTGGCAAGTCATTATCTTTGTCACTTTTTACATTTTTTTGAATTTAATTTTTAAAATTTATTTTATTTAATTTTTTCATAAAAATAATTCTACTTTGTTTATACTCTCTCCGCTCCCAAAAATGTCGTAGTTACTATTTTAGATTTTTTATAATATTTTTTGTGCTTCCTTTTTTAATGATATATTTAATAAAATAAATTATTCTTATCACTGCTTATTTTGTAAAATTTTTGATATTATTTTTAAATACGGTGTAATTTATAATTTTTATTTTCTTACAAATTTGTATATATAAAATTAATTTAAAAAAGATAATATCACATTATTCAAAAGAGAACAAATATTTTGGAATGAAGTGATGAGTGCAAAAAAAAAGAATAAAAATGGATGCCATTGCCTTGCACGTGGCTTGCAATGCGTGTAAAATTTCCCTTGCCACGCAATAAACAGTACACATTTTGGTGATGTGGGAGGGCGAGGCATGGGAAAGCCTCGCCGCTGCTCGTGCTCTCAATACTTTAATATGTTTTGTCCATCTCCATTCCCGTCGGTGCATATTTGTTGCTTTTTAAAATTGTCGAAAATTCCATAAAAGCATATCGTCAATAATTTCATGTTCAATAATTGCCCATGATTAATTATTTTTTTTTCTTCAAAAGTTCCAAGATAAAAAAAAAGTGAAAGAAGAACAAGTGCACGAAAATGACCGATGATTTACTCCTTTTCTTAGAAATTAATTGACATATTTGATTATACGGAGTACTATTTTAAGCAAAATATGAATGGGTGGTTTTGAGTTTAGAAGTAAGAATCATTAATTTTGTAAATAGAGCATTGTACAAAATAAGATCCATTAGGACAACAATGGCAACATATAATATCAAAATACTATAAAATGCCTACATACAATACAAAACTTTCATAGTACAATAATTCTTTAAGTATTAGACTTGATCAAAGTGTGGGTTGGGTCGAATTTCGTGCCGAAACAAGACGTTATGTTAAATGAAACTAGATCCTGACTTGCATGTGTACCCGCGGGTTTTGGTCCGGCCCGGTCCACATGAACTTACAACAAATTCTAAATAATTAAAAAATAATTTTATAAATAAAGTAATCTATTAATATATTATATATTTGATACAATAACATATAATAAGTATACCAAAAAAAACTATAAAATAAAATGTATTTCATCTCATAATGTTACTATTATTGATTTGAATATCATTATCAATGTGTGATACAAAGTATATAATATCGAGTAATAAAGATGTGCTCCTTTTTCAAAAAAAATAAAAAAGAAATGATAAAGATGTTCTCCTTTTTAGTAGTGCATTTATTTGTCATCCACTATTTTTCTCCATAAGTATTAATAGTATTGATGTTTTTATTATTATCAATATAAATTTTGTTATTATTAGTATTATATTAGTATACATGTTGTTGAACATACTCCGTATATATTGTTTGTTGATAGCCCTAACGAAAAGGAAAAAAATTAAACTACATATTTTTTATTTTATCAAGAAAGTAAAGAAATATTTCAAATCATATTTTTACTTGAGAAAGACTAAAAATAAAGGTGTGACAATTATTAATTCAAATCAAGGGGGCATTAAATAATGTGCCAGGTTTCAAAAATAATAATGTTCCAGTTTTCATAATAATAATAATAATAATAATAATAATAATAATAATAATAATAATAATAATGTGCCATGTCGAGCCTATGATATGTTTTGTAGATGGGCAAATTTTGTTTACACTTTAAAAACAAAACTAATTTTAACCGTTTTCACATCCGTTTCTCAAATTCATAAGCGCTTGTTGAAAACGGTGGGAAATAATTTCTGCAAATTTTCGGCGGAGCAATCAGAAGCGAAATCCGTCCATCAATGAGATATTCGAGGCTTCTGTGCAGTATGAGAAGAACGGGCTTGAGGGAGACGACGGGCAAGGCGGCGGATTCCACGAATCACGGCAAAATTGGCCGGTACCTGAGCTTCACGGCGTACCGAGATTGGTGTTACCGTTACTTCTTCGCGTTTTCCGGCCTCCGATCCGTCGAGACCGATTTCGGCGACGGGACGAAGATGCATTGCTGGATCCCCAAGGCCCGGAAGGAATCCAAGCCGAACCTCCTCCTCCTGCACGGCTTCGGAGCTAACGCGATGTGGCAGTACGGCGACGTCCTCCGCCACTTCATCCCCCGGTTCAACGTCTACGTTCCGGATCTGCTCTTCTTCGGCGGATCCTCCACCACGCGGCCGGAGGAGTTCCAGGCGGCGTGCGTGAAGAGATTGATGGAGGCGAATGGGGTGGAGAGGATGAGCCTGGTGGGGATCAGCTACGGCGGATTTGTAGGGTACAGCATCGCGGCGCAATTTCCGGAGGCGGTTGAGAGGGTGGTCCTGTGCTGCGCTGGGGTTTGTCTGGAGGAGAAGGATATGGAGGACGGGCTGTTTCAGGTGGCCAATTTGGATGAGGCCGCCGACATTCTGCTGCCGCAGACGCCTGAGAAGCTCAGGGAATTGATGCGGTTCTCCTTCGTTAAGCCTGTCAAAGTTGTCCCCACATACTTCCTCACAGATTTCATTGATGTGAGTTTACTGCTCTTAACTCTCAATTTCCTCTGCTAAATCAACAATTTCATTTTTGTTACTCCTAGAACTTTATGGTTCGTTTAAGGAGAACTATGAACAACACAGACGATTTGTGAAGGCCTAAAATTGTTGTATTGTCGTGAGCGTAAAAAATAATGTTTTTTACTTGTTCACTCATGGTGTTGGTTTTTAATGTGACAGGTGATGTGTACTGATTTTGTAGAAGAGAAAAGACAGCTCATCCATGCCATTCTTCAAGGCAGACAGCTCTCTAATCTTCCCAAGATCACACAGGTTATTTTGATTGCATTTTCTTTGAAATTACTCCGTATTACTTCTATGAAGTGCAAATCTAAGATTGAATTTGTTGAAATTTTAACAGACCAACATGTATGTCTGAAACCATTAAATGAGTAATCTACTCTAGTACGGAGTAAAATATAAGCGTTTGTTATTAAAAAGTTTAAAGAAAATGCTCTGCATTACTCGAAACGAAAAAGTAGACACTGTATTTTCTATTCATTGTAGTTAGATGGTAAAAATAAAAGAAATACTTCTGCACTATCTTCATTATCCATTGATTAGCCAAGCACAACCAAACACAGAGTAAATTACTATTTTTTATGGATAAAATATGGCTTATAACCATGGAGTCGTTCTACCAAACAGACACTATAGTCTCATAAGATCAAGTTTTTTTTTTCCATTCATATCCGGTGTAAGAACTAAGAAGTTTGACATTGGCGCATCGGGTACAACCTTTGCATTCAAATTTCATAGTATTTAATTTATTTCCGCTCTTCAAAATTAACAGAGGACATTGATAATATGGGGAGAGCAGGACAGGATCTTTCCACTGGAATTGGGTTATAGGCTTCAAAGGTGACATTCATTTTTCATTTTAAAAACAAAAATGTGACACTTCGTACTATATTTCTTTCTTTAACACATATTGCCATTTTATTAACGTGTAGTATGTTTCCTTTCTTGAAAATTAACAGGCACATTGGAGAAACGGCCGAAATAGTAGTAATAAAGAATGCTGGGCATGCTGTGAACCTGGAGAAGACAAATGAGATTGTCAAACACTTGAAGGCATTTCTCTTTGATTCATTGTCTCCTTCACAATGATGATTAAATTAAACCCAATACCTATAACGGTATAACCTTTTCTAAATTTTGTTGTATTATCTTGATCCTGTAACTGAGTGTGATTAATCATACAAAATGGTCATAAACTGAGTTATCTATTTATGTATTCATGGCATTGATATTCAATAGTGATAAATATGAAATGCCATTTTTATTTGGGAAAATCATGTATTCAACAACTTATATAGTTGTATTTATTTAAGCTAGCAAAAATCATCATAACCACATGTGAAGTTTAAGAGTATACACCTAGAGAATAATCATAATTTATTACTTGATCAAGCAATGTGTATTGTCCAAACTCATCTTTCTTGTGCACATTGATGGCCTTGCGACAGTTACAGATTCAACTTCTGGTTGATGTCGAAGTCGCGGGAAGTTGATAAAACAGGATCCTGCCCAATGAACCACCACGTATCAAAAAATAGAATAGTATGTCATCTTTTTAGTGTAATGACATTATTATTATTTAGCCTAAACATTGCAGTTACAAATTAATTATTGTCCATAACCCCTTCACCTTCCCATACTTTGAGGATACAAGCATCCCAAAACTTAAATTAGAGATGGAGGGCATTTGTGACTTCTCTAACTTCTTGGAAATCATTTTAATTACTCCGTACAACTTTTGGTACTCTTATTCACATTTAGTAGTGTTAGAGTTGGTCCTAGTGCCTAGGCGGTGTTAGGTGGAGCATAGTCAATATTTGGCGGCGTTAATTCAGGGGGAAAACCCCCCTTCGGCTACCAAGGCTAGCCTAGCGTCTAGGCCGGAATATTTTGAAAAAAGCTCTTATGGAGAAAGCCGAATACCTACCTGTACCAACTTGCGGTAGAAGGGATTGATGGAAGGCAAGCATCCTATTCCCACATTGGCAGATTTGATTGACTGGTGCATGTAATTCATCAACCCACTGTATGTTATGTTTGGATTTTCCTTTATCGCTTTTATGAATGTATATGTCATTGCCCCATTCATATCTTTCCCTGCAGAAAAAGCCTGCATAAAACATTAGACAGGCGTTAATTCAGACGAAGATGAGCTGACAAAAGAGCAAATGAAAGGAGCAAAGATGAAATATATAATATAAGGAGTATTACAGAAGTATCTGCAGCCAATTGATGATCCTCACAAGCACTAAAACATATTGCCTTGCCACCATTTGTACCCTTGTAAGTGCGGCTTGGAGGTTCATTATTAGTCCATCTCTTCCTGTTTTTCATAAAACAAATAAATAAAAATGCGCCTCAGGGCCTGTTTGGATGGAGGATTTTGGAGAAGTCGGGAAGGGAGAGTTTTGGATGACTAAGTATATATCTTGACATGTATTTGAAGTTTTAAAAAAATGGAGAAACAACATAATAGGTCATTGATAAAAAATAAAAGCAATTTATTGATTTTTTGAAACATTCTAGTTGTCGAGATGACAAAAGTCTTCCCCTCCACAGCCATCCATCCAAAGTCCAAACAGACCCTAAGGGTATTTGTTTGGATATAGGGTTTATGAGGGTGGCTTTGGAGAACTAAGTTTATATACTCTGATATATATATATATATATATATATATATATATATAGAGTATCATGATAGATACCCAGAGTATATATGAGTATCTAGAATAGACTTAGCCTTCCAGTATCCTCTATGCGAACAAATCCTAAGGGTCAAATATAGGGTTTTGGATGGAGAAAAACTTTGGAGTGCTTAGTTTACATTTTGAAGAATATTATATTCCTTATACTCTATTGATTCTCAAGTAAATGCCGAGTATCAATAATAAACTATAGATTTAAGGTAATGGAACTTGTATGTCTAGATCATGCTGAAAATAAAGGGTGAGAAACAGGCTATAGTGTTTATACTCTTTGCGGTTGTAAATGCGCGGCAAATCAAGAATGGTCCCACTGTGGCACGCGTCAACAATGGCGTGGAGTTTGGTTCCTTCTCTCAGTGGCTTAACGATGATATCATTGATGGCGTTGTCCGGGATCATGCCTTCGCTCTTGAAGTCAAGAGGACAGATGGTTTCGTCGAATCCATCGATCTCATCTCCCTCAAGTTCAGGTTGTCTCAATCCATGTCCGGAGAAGTAAAACACCAGCGAGTCCCCTGTCCTCAAGTTCCTCATCAGCCACTTGAACCCCTCTAGTATGTTCTTCCTTGTTGGAGCCCTGTAGAGCTCTTCCTCTGCAAGTTAGGCATCTCTTGTATTGATCATGTCACAACACAACTTGAATCCTTCCATCCTAGTGTATTCGTCCAATTTGACTTTTTTTCAGTCAAATTGGATGAAATGCAATGTGATTTGTATCTAAGTGATGATAAAGGTTGTCTAGTTTGACCAAAAAAGTCAAACTTGCTAATACACTATAACGTTCAACCTTATTATTAATGATTTGTTTTTTTTTATTTTGAATGATTTCAGAATTTCTTCTCCATTATACCTGCAAGAATGAGAATGGAAGGGGGCTGAAATCCGAAGCGTTCAACGAGCAAATCCCTCATGTTCTTCACGTCTTGCAGAGTTCCTCTCAGCTTGAATCTCTCCTTCTGGTAAGTCACTCCACAGAGAAGCGCTCTCTTCCCAGACGGCGATCCATCTTCAATGCTTATCGATATGCCTGGCCTAAAGCTTGGCCAGAAAGCTCTGGGGCTTCCTGCCGACGAACTCTTCTTCCTCAGGATACTCCCGAATTTTCGTCTCCCAGAACTGGTACTGCCCGCTTGTCCTTGAGCATCACCCAGCAGCGAAATGGAACTCTGACATTTTCTGCAGTAAGGTCCTCCGCCGCCATGGTGTGGGCCCACCAGCTCCTTCTCGCATCTCCGGCAAGCCTCCATTGCAACAGCTTAGTAGCTGTCAGTCTTTGGTAGAAACCTATATTGATTGCCCTTTGGTCAATCAAGATTCTTCAACCAGCCTTGTTGATGAAGATCATAAAAAGTGTCCATTCATGAAGAAGTTAGAATGAATATCTATACACAAGAGGCCAAGTGTGAGGAACCAGATGCTGACATTGATGTTTGGTGGGATGAGAAAAAGGAACAATTGCAACTTTATTTTGTTCTAAGCATCCCCAGGCAACATGCAAATCATAATTTTGAAAATTTTATCTTATAATGTTTTGAAAATTTTATCCAATAATTGATTTTAGGTTTAACATGTTTATCTCAAAACTTTAATGCTGATTAAAAAAATATTCTCTAATGGAGTAATATATTAAAGTTGAATGAACGTAGACATGACATTTATCTATATTTATTTAATTTTTCGTGTATTATAAAAGTCATAATGATCACTTCAATGAGAATATAGAGAATAATAAAACAATCACGTACAAGAACAGTTGACAGTCCGTTCCAGGAATCAAAGAACATAGAGATCAATCAAATATAACCAATTTCTTTAATGAATGGATGACACCACTAGATACAATCACGTACTAGAACAGTTGACAGTCAGTGTAAACACGGGCGGTGTCAACCTTGGTGTTTTCGTCAAACATTTCTGCTCGAAAGAATCGAATCGACGAGAGACTCGGCGTCTTTGCACACTCTTCTCCAGCCAGCCAACTTCACACCATACTCAAGACTCAACTTCTGCAACCTCTTCATGTCCCCTTCATCCACTTCACTCAGCTCAACTGCTTGCTTTCTAGGGATCAATGCATAGAGATAAAGGGAACAACCAGCAATGGCTTCACTATCCCCATGAATTGCCACCCGAAGCAAAGAATCCGACTCGGGTTCAGTTGATTTCGGATCGTACAACACCGAGAAGCAACTGAATCTCAGGTCGGGATTCTCAAATAGCCGGTCCATGTCATCGCTTTCCGGCGAGCTATTGTTGTTCATTTTATCTGTGGAATCTACGGACTTCCGGGTGGCGATCCTGAGTATGTGTGCGGCCTCCCTCATTCCGCTTAGGAAAGCCCCGTGCATCGTGGCGGGATACTGCTTGTTCGTTGCTTCTCCAGCAAAGAACAGTCTGCCCGCCACGCTCTCGGCTAAGATATCGTAATCATCCCCTGAGGAACCGATCGCGACGTATGAGTACGAGCCGTGCGAGAACTTGTCCTGGCCCCATCGTGTGCACACTGCCTGGATCGGGTCGGGGACCGCGATCCCTTTCGGGCCAAAGATTCCCTTGAGAATGTCCAAGACCCTCCCAACGGCTTCTAACGGGGACATCTTTTCGAACCTTATCGCCGCTTCCCCGGCGACGAGCGCCACGAGGAGTGGTCCCCCTGAGACGGCAGAGTAACTATAGAACAAGAAGAACTCGCCCCTCATGGACGGGTCCTCGTTCAGGTGCCCGAACGTGTCGATCTCCCCGCCCCAGAAGTCGTACGGGAACAAGATTGCAACTTTGTTCAACAAACCATACCCCAACCTCTCGATCGCCTCTCTCTTCTTTGCCGGAAGCTCGGGGACGAATTCAATGGTGCCCTTCTTGAGGACTCCTAAGGGAACAGTGCAAAGAACCATATCTGCACGGAATTCTTGGTTCCCCGCGTAGACTAAAACCCCATCAACGCCGTACCTAACGCTCTCCACGGAGCGCTCATAAATCACAGGAATGTCCTCGGCCAACGCCCTCACCAACCTCTCATTCCCTCCGGGGATGAAGCAGTGGTCCCCACCCATCTCGTAAGGATCGTCTTGATCCCAAAAGGCTAAGGACAGTTCAGACATGAGTGAAGCGTTTGCGTACTCCAAATTGGCCAAATGCCAGTCTAAGAGCATTCGTTCTTGGGGGTCTTCCGCGACGCGATAAACACTCCTAAAAGTCTCTAGAGCAGTGCCTAAAGAAACATCAATTGACTTAACTTCTACCATCATTGCCTCTCTTAGCTTACACACTCTGTCTAGCAGTTTATTGAATGAGGTTTCAACCATGGAATCCGTGTCGGAATTCACGGTTTTACCATTGGGTAAATACAGAGGGCAAATGTCCCTGACCTTGTGAAGGGGAAGGCCGAGTTGTCGGGCCAGAACTCCCAATGGGTTGCCATTGATTCCGGTGAGCACGCTGCCGCCTAAATCTGCCGCTGCAGTGACTCCATTCTGACCACCACTCATCTTCTTCGATCTCACTCTGCCCCCTGGTCTTGTTCTTCCTTCCAGAACCACCACCTTAAACCCTAGAAATATCAGTTGTCTTGCTGCGACAAGGCCGGAGATTCCTGCGCCGATGACTACTACAGTGCCCTTACAGACACCCTCAGGCGGCTTCAGTTTGGTTTCCTTGATCGCCGGAGCTAGTCCGAAGTTGATGTAGCCATGGTGGAGCAGGAAGGTGTAGGCGGAATTGACGAGGTTTTTGTGTTCCGCTCTGATTGACTCCAGGGCGTGGTCCTTGGTGAGCCAGACGGAGACATTGGAGCGCCACCGTGCGAGGATGTGGTTGCGGACGACGATGTAATTTGCCTGCTCGTCGCCGCCGATTTGGGAAACCACATTGGCTTCGATTTCCTCCTCGGTGAGGGAATCGACCGGGAAACCGACGGAGATTGCAATTAGGGCTTCGATGTCCACCTCTTTAGCCAGGTCGGAAACTCTCTTCCGGCGGTGAGGGTTCTTCGAATGATCTTCTTCTGCGGCGGCTAGGTCGGTATCGGAATATGAGTATGGGGTGGAGGGTTTGTAATTAGGGCGGCGGACACGCAGGCCGGAGACGGCAGCGGCCGAAGGGGCAGTGGAAATCATGTCCGTGAATAATCTCTTCCGGCGGCGGCGTCTTTTGACTGGTGGCGAATCAGCGGCGGCGAGTGGCGTTTTGGAAGTGGGTTCCATCTCTTCCGGCACGGGAAGCTTCTCTGATTGAGAGTATGAAACGGCGTGGTCTGATGTCGTCTGTGGAGGCGAAGAGTTTCCATTTTCGGATTGATGGTTGTTGGATTCGGTGGCTTTATTGGCGCTGTCCGGTGGCGGTGGGGTATCGCCGGTTTCCATGAGGAAGACGAGCCCGGTTTTGCAGTTTTTCTTTTGCTTCCCTTTGGTCTTGGTTGAGATTCTAATGCGGAGTAGTTTGTTGGTGGATAAATTTAATTATGTTTTAACTTATTAAAAATAATTTTAAATACAATTACAAATTTACAATCAAGAGAAGAATACAAAAATGATACTAAAACAATGCAACTTTTCTAATATAGGACTAGTACTACCATAAGCCTTTTTTTAATTACGTCAGCAACACCAATTGACTAATATAACCTCAACTCTTATGTGATTGAATTTCAAGAATTGATCTGGACATTTAACACTCTTCCGCGACAGAATTACGAGATTCCAGCGGACACTTAACACTTTTGGGAAATAAGTGGGCATTGAATTTCGAAAATCCAGTAGACATTGAATTTCAAAAATCCAGCGGCCTATCCAGGTCTATAGCCAGAGAGAGAGAGAGCCGCGTTAAAGATTGTCGCCGCTCACTACCAATGTTACAATGTTCATTACCAATGTTACAATGTCCAGTTTGCTGTCACCCACCATCGATGTCACAATGTCCACCGTCAATGTTATCATACGTGCCGCCCACCGCCGATGTCAAAATGTTTACTTCCCCCCCCCCCACCGTCGATTTCACAATGTCCACCGCCGATGTTACAATGGCTATCCTGCGGCCATCCACCACTGATGTCACGATGCCTACCATCAATGTTAAAATGTCCACCTTGTCATCGCCCATCACCGATGTCACAATGACTTCTATCTAGTTGAATAATGTCCTAGTATAATACATATGATAATGTCCTTTGATTCATCACAGAGACATTGTGTCATTTTTCAATGTCGATTTGTTTATCCATCAATGTCTTTGGTCTTTCTCTAGATCTATACATTGAGTTGCTGGATTTGAATCACGAAGAAAAATTATAGATGATCATGTTCGATCAAAGAAGACGGTGAAAGGCAAGAATTGAGTTGTGCTAGAAAATGGAAAGAAATCTGGAGTTTGAGAGAGACGAGCCTTATTTGATTTAGGCACGGAGAATGGGAAGCTAACAAGGGAAAGTCAAGTTGAAAATGGTACTATTCAAGGAATAAATGATAATTAATACCACAATGGAAAAAGTAATGACTTTTAGTAGTATCCGAAGCAAATTTGACTACAATCAAATTATAATTTCTTACACCATAAATTTGATCAAAATCAATCAGTTCAATTGTACAACAAGTCTTTAGTTTCAAATTACACTAATTCAATAATTGCTTCATCAAAGATTATATTACACAAAATTTCATAAAACCTGAAACAATAAGACATTTTGTAACCATCGAAACAATAAGACATTTTGTAACCATCGAAACAATAAGACATGGTTTGACGTTGACATGGCATGAAATCACTCCATCTTCAAATGACATAGTGCCGAATGATTTTAGTCGTAAAATTAAATTGTACTGAACCGTTTGAAAAGTAATCATCCAATACAAATTCTAGGAAATATTGGATCGTCATGAATCGTTTTCGCCTCTATCAAAACTGACAAGACTTTAAAATTCATTTTTTGTTCATTTTCTTTAAATTATATTTGGTTAAAAAATTAGAAAAGAAAGAAAAAGAAAATGATTTCGTTTAAATTTTCTCTTTTTTTTTGTTTTTTTTTCATTTTCATTTTCTTCGATTTTTTTTTCTCAGAAAAATAATTTTTCATCTTTTTTTAGAAATTTCAAATTCCAAACCAATGTGAAAAAATCAATACAATGAAAATAAAATTAATTTATTCATCACTATTCCCTATTTTATTTACGCCTAAATAGTGAAAGGTGTAGATCAGTTGTGCGCAAATTATATTATACATCTGGTTGTACCTAGAGATCGGTACAGCCGGCGTTTAATAGGGCGAAAGGAAGCGCAAGAAATCGGCAAGGAAGGAGGCTGGTCGATCGGAAATTTGCGCGGATCTAGGATAATGTGCGGATCGACGATGATGATCGATGGTGATGATCAATGATGAAGAAGGAAGACCGGTGATGATGATGGGGTTTTGCCGATGATTCTGTAGAACTGAAGAAGCTGCGATGATGTGGTGACGAAGAAGAAGGAAGACTGGTGATGGGGTTTTGCAGGTGATGATTCCGCAGGGATCCTCTTTTGGACTTAGTTGAAGAATGAGTACTAGTCTAAGTGGGAATGAGTACTAATATGTTTTAGAATGTGTATTCGTTTATTCGTTAATGAATATTGTACAAATGTGTGAAAATGAATACTACGTTTTTTCAGAATGAGTAACATGATTTTCAAAATGAATACTTATGTTGATTCGTTTTTTCATAATATGTACCATATACATTATACACTCTCTCAGTTGTGCTGCACCACAGACCTCTGGAAAGCCCTCGACCCTTCTCCCTCTCTTTGTCCCAAGCTTCATCGTTCCCACAATCGCGTCTCTTGCAGAACAGCTTCAAGCTCCCCAGTCTCGCTCTGCTCGCGCTCGCCCTTCTTAGCTCTGCGGAGCTTTCATTTCTCTGGGAGAGTGCGAGAAAGAGACGCTTGAATTTCAATTGCAGGTGCGTCGGTACGTTTCGGTCACTATCCTTCTCACGATTTGGGATCATTTTGTTCGATTTCTTTGAATTAGGATGGTAAAGTTTGATTCTTTCAGCTTCTACACAAGTTGGGTTGTTTGAATCTGATGTATTATTTTATGTTGATGAAGAATCAGTTCTTTTACGCATTTTCGCAAACACCTCCTTGTTATTTGATCCAAATTCCAGTTTATGATTTTTTCAATTATTTTGATTCTTAAAGATGATTCAGTGGTGTTAAGATGTGAATCCAGTGAAACAAAGAAGCTCGTATTTGATTTGTAATGTATTTTGGTAACTGAACACTTTTTTTTATATATACCATAGTGAATTTATGGCAGTCATACCATTGGGAAGCACGTCGTGGGTTGCTCGATATGGAGTTCAACCTCAGCTTCCACAAAGATCCTCCATTGCAGCTAACTCATCAACATCAGCACTTCGGTGAGCTCTTTCTCTAATTGCATTATTGAACATAAAGTAATGAATGTTAGGGTTCATTGGAATTTTGTGATAGCCTGCATGGTAATTTTCCTTCTCTAATTGCATTATCATACTTGTGAGGTTGTGTTGAGGATATAGTCCCATATCAAACACTCAGGCTAAAAGAAGATTAATATAAAAGAATATGAGTTACTCTCCTCATTTCCATTGCTTTTGGGATTGGGACTCACAATTCTACATGGTACATGGCTCGAAAAAAGAAACCAGATCTATTTCAGCAAGGGACAACCGTGGGGATAGTTTCACATCAACCACTTAGGTTAAAAAAGACATATACATAGTATAAGAATATGAATTACTTCTTCTTTTGCTAATCAGTTTTGGAATGCAATCTCACAATTCCAAAAAAAATTCTCATATTTTATCTAAGCATAACTCATATCTAACAAATTTTCCATTTTACCCAAAATATTGTGCGTATGTTTTATCAAGAAAGCAATTGATTGTTTATAGAAATGAGAGCCAACTTTTGGGGTAGTTTCTTTTTCTTTTTATTTAACCCCTTACTCCCGCTCCCTTAGGTTATGTTTATTTACAACATGGAAAATTGCAGGAAATGGAAATAGATAGGAAAATATAGAGGAAGTTAGAAAGAGAGATAGCATGGGAAAATAAAAGATAGATGCAAACCCAATCATTCTATTTTATATATTTTTCGAATGTTTTTTTCTTTATTTCTTTCTATGATGTAAAGACTACGAAATCGAAATGCATAAAAAAATCATAGTTTTAGTCTTTTAGACAGTTGTTAACCTTGTTGTATACTAGCAGTTTCTCGAGTAAGACAAGAGCTTTGACATCATCAAGTTCAAGATTTTTTTGTCAAGAATCTTTGAATGAGCTTTTCAATTCGTTGTCATACAAGAATCCATGTCAACGGAGAGGAAATCGCCTCATTGTTAGAGCCAATAAGGTAAGATGTAATAATGGGTTTGTTGTATCGCTAGTATGGAACAAAAAAGTTGTCACCTTTATGTGCAAAATGCACTGAACATTTGGTTGACTTCACTGCACTTTTTTGCAGGACTTCTATTCTATTCTTGGTGTATCAAAAAATGCTAGCAAATCAGATATTAAAAGTGGTAATTAACACTTATTAACAAACATCTTATATTGTTGATGGTTTGTTTAAATGACATGTTACACACACTTTTTTACTACATCTAACTGTCAACAACACTATAGATTAGAATCTTATTGGAAGGTGAATATTGAGTAAATTATTGTATGTGACAAAAAGTATCACAGGTATACTGTTTTGAATCTTAATCTTGTTTTTCTAATAAGAATCTTATTCTTGTGATAGTGTTTATGTGAAGTGAAAGTGGTTGTCATCTAGTACTTCTCCTTCGCCAGAAAGATCATGCCACACAAGTTNTGAATTATATTTCATCAAGCGAAGCTAACTGTCTGTGTAATTTACCAATTATTTTCCAAAAAAGGTGAAAAAAAGACAAATATGATAAATTATAAGGTATTAGCTTAACTAAACATGACCACTTCTTTGACAGGAGTGAGGGACTACTTGATTATAAAACCTGTCCACTTGATTGGTGACTCTTCATACAATCATTTACACATTTACATGCATGCATGCTTCAACCATATAATTAAGAGCAGTATTTTGTACATTGCTATGAAAAAAGTTCAGTGTCATATGCTGATATCTCTTTGTTTTCAGCTTATCGAAAGCTTGCACGAAACTACCATCCTGATGTAAACAAGTAAGTAGAGTATTTTACAGCTAAAGTTCGATGCATTTTAATGTGGTCTTCTGTACAGTACTTATTCGGGAGAAGTAGGTAAATATTTGGTAAAAGTGTAGGGCGGGCGATCTTTTCAATTGTTATTAGTAGTTGTGTACCCTCATGGCTTTATTCAAATGCAACATTTATTTTTTCCTCTGCTGATCTGGTTCATGATTTTGAATTATTTCTCTCTTTCATAGAGAATCTGGAGCTGAGCAGAAGTTTAAGGAGATCAGCAATGCTTATGAGGTAACATTATTTTAGGTTATGGCCATTTGAAACTTCATTCGAGGAATGAAAGCTCTGTTCTTACCGTTTCCACCTTTAATGGGAAACTTATGTTGCAGGTCCTCTCAGATGATGAGAAGCGTTCAATTTATGACAGATATGGGGAGGCTGGGCTAAAGGGTTCTGGCATGGGTACAGGGGTAAGTTTTTATTTGTTTTATTGTTATAAGTATTATTATTTTTGCTTCCTGTAGGGTAAGTTTGGATCCCAGAAATTGATAAGAAAAAAATGCCTAGGGAAGTTTTTACGTCGGAAAATATCAAAATACAAAGAAAAAAGAAATATTTTTATGCTTAATTTTTTAAAATATATTTTATCTTTATAAATTTCTAAAATAGAATTTGAGTTTAAGTTTATCATTTCATTTTCCCCAAATGCTATGGCTCTATTTTTACCAAGCTATTTTTCACTACACTGACACTAATTTTCATCCTTTGTAATGGTTTTTTTCATAAAAAATGTTCCGGAGACACTGGGAAATAGGGAGTGCTTGTTATGAATGGCCCTTAGATGGTATAACATTTGGGTTCCAAATGGACCCTTAGTAAATGAGGGAATACAAACCTTTGGCCCTTAGATGGTATAACATTTATTTTTATTATTTTCTGGACAGGATTTCAGCAATCCGTTTGATTTATTCGACTCATTATTTGATAGCCTGGGTGGGATGGGTGGTATGGGGGGGAGGGGATCAAGAAACAGAGCCACTGAAGGGGAAGATCAACTCCATAACCTTGTTTTGAATTTTAAAGAAGCTGTATTTGGGGTTGAGAAGGAGATTGAAGTCACCAGGCTCGAAAGCTGCAGCACGTGCGACGGATCTGGTGCCAAACCAGGGACGAAATCGTCAAAATGCAACACGTGTGGCGGCCAGGGGCAGGTAGTGTCCTCTACAAGGACTCCACTCGGCGTCTTCCAGCAGGTGATGACCTGTTCGTCCTGTGGCGGCACCGGAGAGATCTCCACGCCCTGCAACACGTGCGGCGGCGATGGAAGGGTAAGGAAGTCAAAGCGCATCAGCCTGAAAGTTCCCCCCGGCGTCGACTCCGGCAGCCGCCTGAGGGTCCGCTCCGAGGGAAATGCCGGAAGGAGGGGCGGGCCCCCCGGGGATCTTTTCGTGGCCATAGAGGTCCTACCGGATCCGGTACTAAAAAGGGAAGACGCGAACATTCTCTACACTTGCAAGCTCTCCTACGTGGAGGCTATTTTGGGAACCACGAAAAAGATCCCGACGGTCGACGGGGAGGTCGATCTAAAGATCCCGGCCGGGACCCAGCCCGGGACGACGCTAGTGATGGCCAAGAAAGGAGTGCCTCTTCTCGGGAAACCCAACATGAGGGGGGACCAGCTCGTGCGGGCCCAAGTTGAGATCCCGAAACGGTTGAGTAGCGACGAGAGAAAGCTGGTCGAAGAACTCGCGAATTTGAGCAAGGGAAAAACAGCAACTACCAGCGGTAAGAGGTAGTTAGGATGGATCATCATCAACTATATATATATATATATATATATATATATATATATATATATATATATTTGTTCTTGAGGAGTTGTGAAATTTTGACCATTGGGTTTGAACTATATAATATATACACCGTTATTGATAGAGCCCAGAATTGGGTGAGTGTTAGATTCTGAGGCATGTGGATGTACATTTTATGGTGTCATTTTAGCACACTCATGTTGTGATATTGTTTACTTATTTGTTCGAACCGATGGCAATTGCTCATCAATTCGTGACGATTTTATGTTTTTGCAAAACGTGTACGCTTCTCAGTTACTATTGAAATGGTTCGGTGTGGTTTTATTTCAAAATCAGAATCATTTGGTATCCTATTTATAGAATGAAATTAAGAAAGTTCAAACTGAGATGAATAAAAAGGATTTCATAACAAAAATGTATTTTTATAATCAATGCCTTTTGGAATTATTTTACATGACACTTTTTTTGGCAAAGAGCTGACACTTTTTTTATTATAAAAGCAGAAATAGAGTCAACAACAAAAGAAGGTGAGATGACATGTCATTTTACTGGATCAGACATAGAACCAACTTCCCAAGCCACAATGTGGCAACATAATTCGCAGATTTCCTAGCAAAACTAAAGCTTAAGCTATTAAAACAATTCATAGCTTCTTTATATCAGAAATAATAAACTCAAAAGACAACAAAAAGTTCAGATTCTAACGCAAAAATGACCTACTGAGCATCCCTCTCGACATCCACATTGTCTAGCTCAAGCTCCTTTAGCTAGCTCAAAGCCTCTCGAGTCTCGAATACACATCGCCTCTACCTCTTGCGGTTGGACCCACGGAGTCACCATTACAAAATGAAAAATGCTTCCGAATGTACCCCAAGCATTTGGTAAATGGTGTACCCATATAGCATTTCTCTTACAAATTTTTCATGCCTAGTAAAAGTTGTGAGCGAGAAAAAAAGGAATAAAAGAATTGGGGTGAGAGAGGCTCGAACTCTCGACCTCAGGATAACTCAGAAGCTATGAGACCTACGCGCTAGCCAACTGCGCCACCACCCCTGTTTGCTTCTCCTTGCAGTAGCTCTTTTACAAATATAAATAAATCATGTTATGATCGTTATTGCCTTCGCTACTTATAACAAAATTCATAAATCGCTATGGTGCTTTAAAATGTGCACGTTTTTGTGCTTATATTCATTTGTTATGATATAGTGAATTTTTACCCAAATTCCCAACTATACGTTCTTTTAACTTTTGTATATTTTAAATGTTAGCTTCTTACTAAAGACTATATTCAAATGAATTTACCTACTTTGTACTCTCTCCGTTCCTAAATAAACTTCCGTTTTTAACTTTTTGATGATTTAAGGGAGAGATATTTTTGTGTTGACTTTCCAAAAATACCCTTGATGTGATGTGTAAAAGTAAGATGTGATATGTAGATTATTAGTAAAAAAGTATGATGTGATAGGTAGGGTATGAAAAAGTAAGGGGTAAAAGGGGTTTTTTAAGGGAAAAGAGAAGTTTATTTGGGGACAAAGTAAAAACGAAAGAGGAAGTTTATTTACGGACGGGTGGAGTATAATATTTTATTGATGAAGTTAAAGTATAAATATTTAGATGCACTTATGTACTAAAGATTGATATAATTAACTATGATAAGTATTCAGTGATATTTTGAGTTGATAAATAAGACAATTTGTTAGTAACATGTAAAGTGCAATTTACTCAATAGGCGAACATGACTATTACTCTACTAGAGCGTCAATGAGGAAAGGAATAAATAATTAAGAAATATTCCGTTTATTTTTCTTATAAATATTGTATGAATACATGGTGGAAACAAAAAAAGTTAAACAATGCAGTGAAACAACATACATTATTACAGTCAAAAAGGCAAAATGACACTCCAAAAACATCAACAATGAATATGATCCACATAAGCTAAGATGATCAAGAATGTCACTTATTTAAATAAATCTAAAAAATATTGAACACTAGCAATGACATGCATGCATGTGTTGACATGAATCACACCATGTTGGCGGATCAACCATACGGTAAATTATTTTCAGTATATATGACTTCATACCAAATTAAAAGAAAATTTTAAAGTAATCTCAGCTTTTCACGTTTTTTCAAAATAAATTTCACTTTCATTGCCATTAAAAATAATCTCACCTTTCTGCATGTTGAGAATTTTGTTTTTTAAACCCAACAACAATGAGTATCTCTCAACTGTGGTGTATTTCTTCATGACATTCATTTGTTCAAAGCACCTTTTATTGTACACTATCTTCTTCCTATAGAAGCAAAACCATTTATATAGAAATATCGAAAAATATTCACAAGTTCTGTACTACCGTTTTTATAAAAATAATAATAGTATAGTACAACAAATTTTCAAAGTGCCGCTCCAAAAAATAATTCCAACTTACAAAAAATGCAGTGAGTTATGAAGTAAATAAATTAGCTCCATTGTGTAGAATAATTTATTTTTCAATTGTTACCAGATTATCGATTATTGAAAAAAATAATTAGTTTTACTCCAAAAAACACTTAAATTTGGTATTAGATATAAAAACCTTTTTAAAAAATATATTTAAATTTAAAATTAGAAACTAAAAAATAAAAAGAAGAGAATTTGCTTATAATAATCCTACCTTTCATTTATTTTTGAAACCAAACATTTTCTAAAAATTCTGTTAAGTGATCGTTAGCTTTTTAACGGTGACCCAAAACTCATAGAAATATGAGATTATTTTTTGTGACAATGAAAAGAGAAAATATTTTTGAAAGAGCGTGAAAAGATAGAACTATTTGAGATAATTTTCCCCAAACTAAATATGAAACATTTTTATATGATACGGATTACGGAGTAGAGTATAACTTCATCTTAGGGCCTCTTTGGTTGGAAGGAAGGGGAGGAGAGGGAAGGGAATCTGAAACCCTTCTCTTGTTTGGTTTAAAAACAAGGAGGAGAAGGGATTCAAAATTTAAGCTTCAGTTCCCTTCCCTTCTCTCCAAATCATTTCTTCCAAATCGAACGAAATCTCTTTTTCTCCAGTCGTTCTCTTCTTCTTCTGTCAATTGTTTTCACCTTATAAATAAAAAATAATATAAAATAAAAAGGCAAAAAATAAAATTAAAATAAATAAATAGATAGTAGTAATAATTAATAAGTTATGCCAAAACAACTAAATAAATAATAAGAAAATAAAATAGTATAACAAAAAACTAATAATAACAAAAATGTATACTAATAAAATAAATAAATAATAAAAATAAAAATAAAAAAGTAAACATCCAACCTTCATTGTCTTCTAGTATTGGGTATTTGGGCAGACCAGATGGTAATCACATGTAATTTTATCCTCTCGACCAGTTGAACTACGTTAAGTGGATAATCATAGACGTGGATTCTTCCACTTCAAAAACCAAACTATGCGATCCATGGTGGGTAGGGACCATCAATTTGTATAACGGAATACCCTAAGAGACACAATTTGACCGGTGTCAAAAGATGGCACTCAAAACGAATTAATTATAACCTTACCAATTTATCAAAGATAAATTATTTAGAATATAAATGAAATGGTGTTATTGAACTAAAATGAATGGCATAGAGCTTAACTAAAAACGATTTGGTTCAATTACAATAATATTTTTGTAGTTAATTACACTTTTTATAATGAAGTGGTTGGCATAAATAATTAAGCAGTCATTTTAGCTTGTTCACAAATCAAGTGTTGGGCTCCGGTGACAAGCCTACGGACCACTTCACCCGCGGGTAGAATTTGGTGAATCAGACCAACGCCCTGACCCGCATACATTGCCATGCTCTCCACTTCACCCCTTGCACTTCCATTTGGGACTGGTCCGGCAAAACGCCTAATTTCCTTTTCCTGTTCGAAAACGAAGAAATAACATTAACACTTTGACTTCACGGAGTTTAAGAAAAATGCCGGTACCCGAAATATAATAATTAATCACCTTGCCGTGGATGGTCGAATGGCCAATGATTGGCTGGGTCGTTTCATTCTCGTGGCTAGGGAGGTCCCGCCATTGCATGAAGAACGGCGTCTTTAGGACGCGGTGGGGTGCCCCCGGCCACCGAGCACGACCGAACACGTTTGTGTACTCGGTCTCGCCAAGTTCGACCAGCTTTCTCTTGTATATCGGGTGGGCATTGCTTTCCTCCGTCGCAAGGAACCTACGGCAACGCAAACGTGGTTAGGCCCAGGAGCCATGCATTCTCTATCAAATTCTTTCGTCCGTCACAATTAAAAAATTATCCAAAAACGATAAGGCCAATGAAAAACGTTGTTCCCAAACAAAGTTTCAGACCTGGTGCCGAGTGCAACACCCTGAGCTCCAAGTGCAAGAGCAGCGACATAGCCACGCTCGTCCACTATCCCTCCCGCAGCTATAATGGGAATGCCACGACCGCGAACTAGATCCGCCACTCTTGGCACCAACGTCATTAAGGCATCCTATACACAAAATAAAGCAAGGTGCCGATCAAAAGGAACGTGTCATGTTCTAAATGAAAGGGTTAAGGAAATATTCCATAACAGGGAGTATATAATATGATCATGCTAGAAACCCTCCATAGCTGCCTCCACGGATGACAATTACAAATAATTTACACATAGACAGACAATAATCATGTGTTTAAACAAGAATATCGTGTCTATATTATAAATCGTCTGTTATTTTCATCCATAAGGACACCCTTGGTGGATTCCTAGAATTTTTGTATTTAATAATCCTTAATACAGATCATTTAGTACTCGGTATGAAGTAGTATATGTTATCATACCTGGCCAATAATGTGCCCTCCCGCTTCTCGACCTTGAACGATAATGCCATCGACTCCAACATCATATGCTCTCTTTGCTTCTTCATAGCTCCCCACCTCATTAAAAGTGTTATATATCATGTCATATAACTATAACTAATCGAGTTCTTTTTAAATTAAAACACTTGAATCGATTGGATTCGATATATTAATGTGGCGCTGAGAATGACGACTTACTTGAGGCACAACCTTGACGTCAGCTTTATGAGCCGCAAAGACCAGTTCCTCCGGGCACTCGCCCCAGTAAAGCTGTAAAACGGCAACCTTCTCATCGAGAATGGCCTTGACGTTCTCCTCGTGAGGAAAGGCAAGAACCATTCCAATCCCAAATGGCTTGTCCGTTAAGGTTCTTGTCTTTCTTATGATTTCCCTCACTCGATCTGGATCCTCCTGTGGAATATGCATAGTTCAGACACTCAAGAAAATGACATATTATCGTTTTAAGGAGATTAAAAATGGAGATGAGAGAGAGGCGGGAATTGAACAGACCCAATCAGGGGCTCTGAGGAGACCGAGTCCGCCGGAATTCGCGACGGCGGCGACGAGCTCCGGGCCGGAGATGTCGGGTCCCAACGGCGCCTGGACAATTCCATACTCAAAACCCAATATCCCTCTCCAGCCCATCCTGATTTTTTTTCAAGCTCAAAATAATTGAGAAGAAGGAAGAGAAAGAATAAATAAAAAGGATCAGTGGATCACCACGAGGCCATATGTTTGATGGAGTAGTCAACCATTACATTATTGTAGTACAATTTTTGTCTGTCTGTGTGTGTATCATCTTTTTGTCCTTTGTAGCCAGTATTATGAAAAGTCAGTTCCTATTATATCATTAAATGTAAAATTTGCACTAAATAGTACTAAAATATACATTTTTTCTCAATGTAGTACCAAAAACTTTTTATTTTCTAAATAATACTTGAATAATATTCGGTGGCAGAAGCAATATCCGTTGGCAGTGCACATTTACTTTGAACAATGTGTAAGACCGGCGTGCACATTCATCTCTTTGTAGGGAAACTAATACTCAGGCTACGCTTTTACATCTCACAAGGAGTGTATTTCACCATCTAATCATCAGTTAATTTCACACACTCACAAAAGAAACAACTAACTCAGAATATAAAATTTCTCAACATCTACAAACAGTTCAAACAAATGTACTTCTGAAGTTGGAATGCTGAAAGAAAATGCACTTGTCAAGCTGCTCTTCTTGAAAGAAAAGCCAATATAAAACACAGAGCAGAATCAACAGTTGACAATGCAACGATAAACAGAGCGACTAGAACAAGTGCCAGACTAGCCGTCTTCAGCTGCAGCAACAAAAGTAATATTGGCATCATATATATATATATATATATATATATATATATATATATATATATATATATATATATAACATTAGTCAACAAAAAAGAGTTTACATTCGTAGACTAACCGTGCTTTGGATGCTTGGCCACTCTATGTACTTGAGCTGGCTTGGCTGTTCAGCAAGAAATGATACTAGAGTCTTAAATGGCCTGTATATTAAACAGTTAATTGATTAGAGAAAATTTGATCTACATGAGTTCATAATAATTCCATTATTAAAAATAAAACTAAACATTACTTCTCTTAACTTTTGAATAAAAGGATCTGCTCCTATGGCTCAACACTTTTACAAAAGCTATTATTCAAACACATGTGAAAACTTTCAGTATATATGTGTGTGTGTAATCTTACTATTGGCAAACAAAAGTTCCAAGCCGAATCATATCCCATTTCATTGGTAAGGGTAAGATTTCCATACATACACCTTTCCCAATTCCCAAACCACTTCATTCTTTTGGAAACAATCTCTCTACTTAAGGTAGGGGTAAGGTCTAATGCATACACCAACCCCTCCTAGACCCACTTGTGGGATGTTACTAGGTTGTATTGTTGTTCATATTTTATTCCAGTTCTACCAAGCTAGGAAAACAGATGGAGATATCCATTGCATATAAAGTACCTGAACCACTTCATCAACTGCCCATCATCATTATCATCACTAAAATATGGATGATCTCTTTGGGCAAATGATCTGTATTTGAAACCACGACGTGCACGCAATGTATGCTCAATCCTAAAGCTAGTTTGCCGAGTTGTCTACCAAAAGGGAAACCCATCAGAAAGCTCATCCACACAAGGCATAACGTACGATACATTACTCCCGCGTTAAGTGGTACACATGGAATGATATTCCATGAAACCCATTTTCTTCTTAACCGTGTTTTGTAGGCAAGGGAGGGGATTATTTTTCGTAGAGATAACGAATTTCTTTTCTTGTGATAATATCATGTGTTTTGTAGTACTATTTCATAGACATGTAATGTCAAATTTAAAATGTAGTCTTGAGAGCTCATCACAAGTTTTTTCAAAGAAAAAAAAGATGGCATACCAATGAAATTCCTTCACAGCAAGGCCTCATTACGCCGTTCATGTAACTGCAGCTCATAATAACAAAGAATTATCAATCTCAACCTTACAAGATTGAATTTTTTTACTGGGGAAATGCGAAGAGAACTTTCCATTTCCGTGCACAGTTAAAGCTAATGAGGTTTACCTAGGGTTTTTTTCTTCCTCAGCAGCTACAATCTCCCAATAATTGATGAAAATACAAATTTTTTAAGCGAATTTAAGCAAGAATATGGTAGGAGAAAAAAGAATGCGATATGAAATTAACAATAAAAACTGAAATTTTTAAGAAAAGGAAAACATACTTAACTCTCATACGAGCAAGACGATCGGCGCCGGAGTGGTAGCTGGACAAGGCGTAAGCGCCCACCGTCGATGACGTCAACATCTCTGTTACCTGCGAGATTCTCAGCCGTGTTCCACGGTTCCGATATGGGCGGCCGGGCAGGCGGAGAGAGGATACAGAAAGCCGCCGGATTCACAAAACGGTTGGGCCGGGAAAGTAGGGTCGATCATATTGCATTATCAGCCCATACCCATTTTATGGCGTGGACCGGATCTGCTGAAGAAAGTAAATCGCGGGAAAATATTGGGCTTATAAAATACTTGGGCCCAGTCTCTGATCTCTAAGCTTTTTAATTAATTATTATGGGTCCTTGTCAATTTCTTATCAATTAATCATCTTAATTATTCAGTTTTCATATTTATTTTCCTTGTTAAGCAATAGCATTATTTTATTGGATCATGTCTATCTGTATATAGGCCAAAATAATTATCTTCATATTTGTCATCAACTCCATAAATATTATGGAGTATTATTAATTAACCAAAGTAATACATACCAATCTCCATTTTGACATGGGTGATTAGGATTGATTACTATTTCTCAATTATCCCCAAAATAATCACTTAACACATTCATACAAATCCATTTGTCTCAAAATAAATTTTCCAATTTTTTTAATTGTTTCAAATAAATCAATAAGGGTATTTCGGACAAGAGCACACCTTGTTTCTTTAAAGTTCTTACAATGGGAGCGACTATCAACCAAGAGGGTGGTCTAAGCAAAGAGATCGAGATCGAGATCGAGTACCCACTGTGTCAGTCAAATATGAACGAAATATTTCTTTCATCCCAAAATGATCTTTTACTCTTATGATGTCTCGATAATTTTTGTTTGCTTGCATTTTTTATTAAGGTTGTGTTTGGTACACAAAATTCAAATTATGGAATTGGAATTTGAAACAATTATTCCAATTCTGCTCTTTGGTAGCACAAAATTTGTGGATTTGGAATTGGTATGGAAAAAAATAAATTAGAACTGGAGAATTCAATTCCATCAAAATCAATTCTCAATTCAATTCTGATTCCGTCAATTTTGTATACCAAATAGACCTTGAGTATTTAATAAAATAAAATAATTTTATCACCTCTTATTTTGTAAGACTTTTGATATAATTCTTGCATTGAGGCAATGTATACATATGCAATTTAATATACTTTTTTGTAATGTACATGGTCATGATCGGTAATGTAAATATATTTTAACTTTTATTTTGGAAATAAATATATGAGACTTTTATTTTGATATATTTTTAATGTTTTACTCCTAGTTTAGTCTTTTTTTTAAAAAGTTTATAGGTCATTCAAAATTTTCATTAAAAAAAAGAAAAAGAATTTTTTTTTAACGTTAAAAAAGTAAAGAGTATTGTTTTGGATTATTTGCGTTCAAATATCCCCGTTTTGGCATTTTGTGTGCTGCTCTAAAATTCCCTTACACACGCAAAAGGACGCTTCTAGGTAGGCTCATAAGGGCAGAAGTTTCATGGGTGTCCTAATCATTTCGGGTCCATACCCTACACCTCTCGATCCGATGACAATGTACTTTCCGTCCTTTGAATTTTAGGGCACCCCCGGACAAAAAAAAAACACAGTCCCAGCCGCCAATGGAGAATTGAATAATAGTCCTTTGACAAAGCAACACAACGCCTCGCCCAAAATTCTTACTTTTAGGTACAACAAATAATAGGAAAGCATAGTACTCTATATATTGGATTGTTGCTCTAGTTTTGTTATTTAGAGTTTTGGATGATTTTTAAATCATGTAAATTAGTTTTGAAAATGTTAAAATTGAAAATTGTTGTTTGATAAATACGTTTTAAAAAACCAAAAGCTAAGCGCTAGAATAAGTATGTATGGAGTAATTTTTTTTGAAATTCAAGTTCCATTTTAAAAAGTCTAACAGATTAATATTTTAGACCAGTAAAATTATTTCTTATCTTAGTGGATTAAAAGTCATAAAAAAACTAAAACAAATAATTTATTCCATGACAACAACAATACGTACCAAAACACATAAAAAATGTTTTTTTTCTTTTCTTGACCAAACCCAAAAGAAAATAATTTTCCTTCTTTGTAGTGCATTTATTTCTCCCATTTTCTTTTAATTTTCTCATATTTTTTATCTAACCAAACACAAAAACTTGTTTTCTTCCTCAAATTCCTTTCTTTTCTTTGTAAAAAGTTGAGTAAATTTTATAATTAGTCCTTTATAATACTCTCTCCGTTCCATAAAACACTTCCGTTTTAATTTTTTGCGCAGCCCATAAAATACTTCTATCCCACCTAAAATGTCTAAAATACTCCTAAAACAACTTCTACCCGCAATAAACTACATAGTGGGGTATATTTTAGATATTTTAGGTAGGAGTAAAAGCGTTTAATTACGTGCGCAAAAATTTAGGGCAGAAGGGTTTTAAGGAACGGAGGGAGTAGGAGGTTTCACTATTTAATCTTGTATTATCAAATATTACTCTGTTTGGTTCTTCTTTTATGGTTATTTTGATAAAATTTAGGATGAGATAGATACAACTGGATTGAGCAATAAGATACTTGGGCTGAACCACATTAAAAGATTAAGTCTAATCGATTAATAAATTCAAGTCAAGAGCTTTTATACCGATTATTTTATTCTTGAACTTCCGACGTGGGATGCACTCTAACACTCCCCCGCAAGTGAACAACTAGACCATTTTGAATATAACTGGTTGACCACTTGCAAATGAACCTCCATTCCCTTGATTCACTTTTTTTGAACGCCAACACCTAATAAAGGACTACGAGCCACTTGATATGGACTTCCAGACGAGTAATCGTGTTAAATGGGCCACAGGCTGTTGGGTACATATTTAGGATGGAATAGAGACATCTAGATTTGGCAATAAAACACTTGGGCTGAACCACATTAAAAGATTGAATCCAATCGATTAGTTAGTTCAACTCAATAGCTTATATACCGATTATTTTATTCTTGAACTTCCGATGTGGGATTCACTCTAACATATTTTTCAATAAATAATCTTTTTTTAATCTTCTATCGTGTTGGTGTTAACTTGAGGGCTAAAAGTATATTTCACAATGATCATATATCTTTCTTGTCATACACAATTTCAAAGGCCAATCCTAATACATTGTTTAAGCGTTGCGGTCGGTTTCAACAACCATAATCTACAGATATGGTCTTTCATTGGAATCTTATTCCACAGTCATGGTCATTAAAGTTGTGTTGTTCGTCTAACAAACACAAGAATACTTTGCCAGACATAAAATTGATGTCAACTTACATTTTTAATCCTCAAATTAACACTAAAATGGCAGAAAGATAAAAAAAGAGTAATTGTGAAAATCATAAAAGAAGAACTACATAGATAGTATTTGATATAGAGAACTAAATAAGAAAGACATCATGCTACAAAAGACTAATTATTGGATTTATTTTAAAAAGTTTTAAACCAAACATGGTTGCGGCGTAAGAGAACAACCATGATAAGGGTACACCAAGAAGTGTAACACCCTAATCCGTCCAGGTCTGCAGCCCCTTTCGGACTAAAGTATTAACTTGGTAATCGTAAAATTTAAAACTTTTCAAACACTTTTATTTATCACAATAATATTTTTCATAACATATACTGTGCGGAGTTTTCAATATTGCGGAAGCTTAACAAATCATAATTACAAACATAACTTATTTATGTTCTTTAATTCAAAACCATCACATCCATTCCGACAATCTCGCCTCCGTCTGCCTCCAGAATCACGTCACATCATTCTTTCTATTAACCTGCGTGTAGCAAATAAAACATACTACACGCTCAGCGGTGAAGCTGAGTAAGCATATCTAAAGCGTTGAACATCCATATAAATTGAACCCAAATTCATAATCAAATCATTTGATATCATGCACAAAGTATTCAGTTCAAATATACAATAATCAATATTCAACATTCGTCATTCGTCATTCAATATTCATATTCAACATTCAACATCCTCATTCAATAATATCCTTAAACTATTCTTAGTCTAAGGCCAATCTTTTTAATGTTTACCAACTCTTAAACTAGTTCTAGTTTAAGGTACTTCTATCCAACTCTTAAACTAATTCTAGTTTTAATGTACTTTTATCCAACTCTTAAACTTATTAGAGTTTAAGGTACTTCTAACCAACTCTTAAGCTAGGTCATTAGTTTAAGGTACATATATTCCGATTGATTTACCAACTCTTAAACTAACCTTCGCTTAAGGTACAAATCCAGAAAACCGAACAGTAGGATACTAACTGTCGGGTTGGGTGGCATCCCCAAACGAGTTCCTCTAGTTTGGTTATGGATCCCGTACGTACGTTTTAACCCAGGCCACCGAATATTCATAATTATACCCGCAAGGCCCATTTCTAAGTCATCTTAGAGGTCTTCTAGATAGTCTTAGAAACCAACGTCAACCTAGGTATATCTTAGAGTTCTTCTAGATATCCTTAGAATTCAAATCATTTCATAATCATCAACATATTCATTTCAATTCATAATTTAATCTTTAATAATCATTTTAATCAGTAGTTTCATCAAGTCATAATCATCATAATAATCATTCATCATAATCATCAATCAACATAACATTTGATAACAAACAGCGGCCTAGTCTCGAGTGTTAACACCCGAACTTACCGTCATGCGTCACATAGTATTTTATATGCCAAAAACATCCTTTTTATTATACAAAATCATATTTATATTGTGCATAATTAATTGGTATCAAAA